AATCCTCAGAGGCTTGTGCTTGCTCCCTCGCTTCTCGGCCAGGGTCAAGATCGACCTCACCCCTTCGTCCGCATCCATGCAGGCGGAGATCATAGCCCGTCATCCTGCCACCCTCGATGAAGTCACTGCCTCGTGCACTGAACCCCGTTCCATCATAGGTGGTGCCCTCGTCACAACCTTGTCCTATCTCCTGCCGCTCATCTCTTGGTAGGGCCGCTTGACCCCGCTGTGCTGCTCTGGATGCTCCAGGATGGAAGTTGCCATAGCCACCAGTTGGAGCCACCGATCCAGGCGAAGGTATTGGCCCTGGAGAAAAAACCATGCCGTTCTTGGGTTTCTGAGCCTCCCTCACGCGAAGGCCCAAACTTCACATAGAAAAAGGAATATCCACACCACTCGTAGATGCCGTGGACATCACAATTTCGATTCTCAATCCAGTCGTCAGTGACGACCGTCCTCCTCCACACTTCGCGGGGATTTCCCCGAGAAAAGGTCACTGTGACCCGGGTGGCAGACAAGCTGCCGATTGACATTGGTGTGCCTCTGTGTAGTGGATGGTATGCTCGGACCCTGGACTTCTTGAGAACCCTCACCCACCATTCACCTCCACCCAATCCCACACCAAGGCACTCCCACCGATCGTTTCCGGTCGGCGGTGATTGAAATCTCGATCATCAGCTCCCAAGGCAAGTCGGTGCCCAAGCCCACATGCCGCACCGGAGCCCTCAGAGCACTCAAGTGAGGCGGCTGCTGCATCCATGGCTTGCACGATCGATCGCGGCCGGAGGAGCCCGTGGGGCTAGTGTCGCGTCCGATGGTGAGGACAGGTTCATCTTCCCTTGTCCCATCTTGAATCTTTCTTTTTTTCGACACTGCTCTCTTTGGATGCCTTGGTCCAAGCAAGTGCCGGGTTGCAATCTCTTGAAAGGTCTTCTCTCCCTTTCCCTCCCATCAAACATGCTATACTAGCAGCTACCGCAGCTACAGTGACACACTTGGCAACCTTCGCAAGCTCTTGCACTGGCTGCCAACAAGCTACACCTATCAGCCCACTCAGAAGTGCCACCAGCTTCTTCAGACGTGAGCTGTTCTCTTGGTTGTTGAGGTCAATAGAAGCTCCCACACCCAAGCCCGTGAACTCACAAAATCTTGACCATGCTGCTGG